AGCAGGGACCCCACGCTGGAGCAGGGACAGAGTGTGAGGATCCCTCCCCCTGAGGAGGACGGAGCAGCAAAGAAAACGTGTGATGGACTGACCACAAACCTCCATTCCCCATCCCCCTGCCACACTTAAGGGAAGAGGTAGAGAAATGGGATGAGTCGAGTCAGTTTTGCCTGTGATGGTAACTAGTGAGTGCTCCTTTCCTGTCCTTGTCTCGGTCCACCATCCTCTCCTGATATTTTTCTTACATTTCTCTCCTCCAATCCCAGCGAGGGAAGACTAAGCCAGTGGCCGCCTGGTGCTGAACTGCTGGCTGGGCCTGAACCACAACACTTGCCACCCCAATTTAATCTTTCTGGGACAGAAATTTATACTTTTCATATGAAACCTTCTTGGCTGTACACTCAGTTTTGGAGAAGAAACTATAGGCAAGAGACATCATGTGACAGTAGGGACAGGCTGATGGTGTTGGGCTTGTTCAGCCTGGAGAAGAGAAGGCTCCGGGGAGACCTTAGAGCACCTTCCAGTACCTGAAGGGGCTACAAGGAAGTTGGAGGGGACTTTTTACAAGGGCCTGTAGTGACAGGACAAGGGGTGACGGGTTTAAATTGAAAGTGGGGAGGTTCAGATTAGGTATCAGGAAGTTGTTCTTCATGGAGAGGGTGGTGAAGCACTGGAACAGGTTGCCCAGAGAAGCTGTGGATGCCCCATCCCTGGAAGTGTTCAAGGCCAGGCTGGATGTGGCTTTGAGCAACCTGGTCTAGTGGAAGGTGTCCCTGCCCATGGCAGGGGGGTTGGAACTAGATGGTCTTTAAGGTCCCTTCCAATCCAAACCATTCTGTGATTCTGTGACAGTTCTTTTACACAGTAGCTTCCAGCTTTTCACACCTAAAGAATAGCATTGCTTTTTTTAAAGAGACACTCAATCCTGATTAAAAAAATTAACTTAGGAAGAGTCTACCAAACCTGCTGCCAAAGTACTGGGTAATTACCATGCAGTTTATTTTTAGTTTTTCTTTTCCTACCTCTAGCTCACAGCCGTGTAACTCTTCAGTGCCCAATAGATCAGAAAGACCCAAGTCCCATATTTTCTTCCTGTACAGATATGGGGGGGATCAAGCTATCTCTCAACATTCTTCAGAGTGATTCAGCTGGGTGCTTAAAGGCACACAGGGAGCTAATTTTTAACCAGATAGGCAGTCATCTCCACAGCCTTTTCAAAGCTACAGCTTCTTCATATAGTAACTGTCCTTTCTGTGTTTTATCCCACTTGGTATGGACCATAATATATTGGATGCAATCAATAAATGTGTGTTTTGCTAAGTTATTCAGACCTTTACATCCTTGTCATTATTATGCTCCAGAGATCACTGAATTTTCCAAGGGTTGATTTTATACTCAGAACACAGGTAAAAATACTGAATACTAGAAAAAAGTATTTGCAAGGACTCACTAAAAATAACCACAGGTAAAGATGCTCCTCTGGACTTTAC